AGTATTTCATCAGTTTACTTCAGTTTTTCATTAGTTTATGCCAATTTTGTATCAGTTCACTTCAGTAGTTCATCAGTTTACATATGTTTTTCATCAGTTCGAATCGGTATTTCATCAGTTCACATCAGTTTTTTTCATCAGTTTACATCAGTTTTCATCAGTTCATATCAATATTTCATCAGTTTATGTCAGTTTTCATCAGTTCACATCAGTGTTTCATCAGTTTATGTCAGTTTTTCATCAGTTCACATTAGTATTTCATCAGTTCACGACAGTTTTTTTTAGCAGTTTTCATCCATTTTCATCCATTTACATATGTTTTTTTTGTCTGTTTACATTCGTTTACATCCATTTAATCAATTTACATCAGTTTTCATCTGTTTACATCTATTTTTTATCCATTTACATCTATTTGTGTCTATTTACATCAATTTTTCATCCGTTTACATCAGTTTTCATCTGTTTACATCCATTTTATAATCATTTACATTTATTTGTGTCCGTTTACAGAAATTTTTCATCTGTTTACATCAGTTTTCATCTGTTTACATCCATTTTTTTTATCCATTTACATTTATTTGTGTCCGTTTGCATCAAATTTTCATCCGTTTACATCAGTTTTCATCTATTTACATCCATTTTTATCTATTTACATCTATTTGTGTCCGTTTCCAACAAATATTCATCTGTTTTTGTCCATTTACATCCGTTTTTCATCTGTGTACATCCGTTTTTCATTTGTGGGGTTTTCTTCCATTCAAAAAAACAGATGTTAACGGATGTGGACATTATCGGGTATAAACAGATGATCATCCGTTTACATCCGCTAGTCCATAGAAATATACGGGTGTCCGTTTTTTATCCATAAATGGACAAATGAAAACCGGACATATGTGTGAAAAAGGGGCCTTGCAGCACAGGGGCAGCCCCACTGCAAGGGAAGACTTATACTGTCCCTGGAGAAAGGCTTTAAAATGTGTGCATCAGGAAGATACACCAGCAGTGAATGTTAAGTGAATGCCACATTCATTGCTTTATATTTATACCACTTGATACTAGTTTTTTTTTTGCTCTACACATTCTAAAAGGAACCCACAAGGGCTAGAAATATGAGATCTTCTACTGCACACTTGCTTTTTGCAGATTCCAGGGCTTTCATCCTGATCCTGTCTTCACTACGTGACCAGTTCTGCCTTAGGTATGCAAGACAGCAACTCAGACATTTTTAACGTCACTGACTGCACAGTTGTTCCAGGACAGTGACTGATAAGGTAGTTGGAATCAGGATACATTTTTAAACTTTAGCCATGGCAGTTCTCAGTGTTCGTTAAATAGAATGCAGCAGGATAAGTGAGACTCTGCGAATGCAGGAAGCTGCTGGAGCCCCTGAAAGACATAAGAAACCAGGAAGGATTCATTAATGATATTTTGGGGTACCTTCTCCGCCAGTTGGGGAAATGTGAAACACCGGTATGCCCAGACCATGCTTTGTGCAGGATCCCAGTCTAGCTGTTGTTTTTTTTATTATTATTATTATTATCATCATCTATATTATTATTATTATTATTATTATTATTATTATTATTATCATTATAATTATTATCATTATTATTATTATTATCATCATCATTATTATTATCATCATCATTATTATTATCATTATTATTATTATCATTATCATTATTAATATTATTATTATCATCATTATCATTATTATTATTATTATTATTATTATAATTATTATTATTATTATTATTATTATTATTATTATTATTATCATTATTTATTATTATTATTATTGTTAATATTATTATCATTATTATTATTATCATCATCATCATCATTATTATTATTATTGTTGTTGTTTTTTTATTATTATTATTATTAATATTGGTATTATTATTAATATTATTAATATTATTAGTTAGGAATTTTATAGAGCCAACAGTTTGTGCAGCGCTTTACAATATAATAATTATAGAATTCACTATTCTCAGTATAAAATGTGCACACATGACTACTTGTGTGGGAGAAAACGCTGAATATTTTAGAACGCTGATTGTATGGCTTCATTGTATAGAAAAAACATGGCTTGGAAAGTGTTCTGCTCTACATGACCGGATTGTAAAGCTCGCCGATTTGACGCTTCCGCGTTTTCCCTGCGCATGATCCCGATTCTTATGTGCATGGAATGTTCTTCTAGTCTTTGAGACAGGATCCATTATCATTTCGGTGACTTGAATAATAATGCATTCCATGCTGCATGTGGCGCTATTTTTAGGAATCATTAAATAAGCCGGTTGACTGCTAATATCATGAAATGTGTGACCGGCATAGAGAAGTATGAAATCTGACTCCTTTGTAGGTTTGGAAACGAGGCAACACCTGTCTTACGTAGAACTACAGGTATCAGCATGCCCCAGAAGAGGTAGGTAAAGGTTGAACATAGGTTATGAACACGTGAAAGCAGAACTCCAGCCACAAATATATAAAAAGAAATAGCCCGTAAAAAAAAAAATAAAAATAACAAAACTGGCTTTTGCTGCAATATTCACCTTTAATCCAGAGATTTCTCCTGCAGTGCTTTATTTCTGCCACTAGATGTCCTTGGTCTGATGGGCAGCATTTTTCAGCTCAGTTCCTTTGAGCCCAGGTCAGCATGGACCCACCAGGTTCCATTATCATTTCAGTGACTTGAATAATAATGCATTCCAAGCTGCATGTGGCGCTATTTTTAGGAATAATTAAATAAGCCGGTTGACTGCTAATATCATGAAATGTGTGACCAGCATAGAGAAGTATGAAATCTGACTCCTTTGTAGGTTTGGAAGGAGGCAACACCTGTCTTACGTAGAACTACAGGTATCAGCATGCCCCAGAAGAGGTAGGTAAAGGTTAAACATAGGTTATGAAGACGTGAAAGCAACAATAGATAATAATGAATAGGCCATAAAAAAATAAAATCACAAACCTAGCTTTTGCTGCAATATTCACATTTAATCCAGAGATATCTCCTGCAGTACTTTTTTTCTGCCACTAGATGTCCTCGGTCTGATGGGCAGCATTTTTCAGCTCAGTTCCTCTGAGCCCAGGTCAGCCTGGACCCACCACAGCCTGAGACTGGACAGTGAAAGGGGAAGCAGCATAGTGATGATCTGTGTCATTCTGCTCTCTCCTCCTATCAGCATGCTTCTTTCAGCACATGAACCTGTTGGCTCCTTGTGATGTTTCTTCCTTGCATGCTGTAACCCTGCTGTACAGGGAATGCGCAAGACTGATACTAGGTCACATTCAAGTGGTTACACTGCTTGTATTAAAAAAAAATATAAATGTAATAATAGTAAATAAATAAAATGGTAAATAAATTTTTTTTTATAAATGTAATAATGTTTTAATGAATGAATAAAATGAAAGGACCGTGAAGACGTCAGGTGACGAAACGCGTAGGGCGGAGCTTGTGGATGTGACGTCACAACGTTCCCTGATCTGTCAGCGTCCGTGGATGCCGGAGAAGGTTGTGTCTTTCATTGCTGTGAACGCGGATCATGCTGGTGTCCGCTTAGACACAATTTACTGTGAGTGTGATGATATATTTTAAATAAAAAAAAGCTTCTCCTCTCTTACTTCCTGAGTACCATTCAGAGTTTATGAAGAAGCGGGTGCCATATTGAAACATTCCATATATGCTGAAATTCTCCTGCAGATCATTGCTCCCAGAGCAGAAAGTGCTTTTGCTGATTTATAATATGATCAGCATATTGCTCTGGTGAGTTCATTCAATTTATTCGGTGGTGGATTCACGCACGGTGGTTTTGCATTTTGCACATGAAAAAATATATTTTTGAAATGAGGATTGTTTATTGATACAGAAATTTTTTTTTTTTGGTGTTGGACTTTTCCACATTTATTTGGACACTATTATTATTATTATTTAATATTAATTATTTTTTTTTATTATTATTATTAGCATTATTAGCATTATTATTATTATTATTATTATTGTTGTTATTATTATTATTAATTTTTAATATTAATTATTTATTATTATTATTATTATTATCATCATCATCATATTATTATTATTATTATTATTAATTTTCGATATTCATTATTATTTAACATTATTATTATTAATTTATTGATATAAAGATTTATATAGGTATATATGTGACAATATTTATAATAATTTGGGTGAGATTATTATTTTCATTTATGCACACACCTTATAGGTTAGGTTTTGCGGCTTTTTTAGATTTACTTTACATTATATATTTTATTTTATTTTTTGTGGCGCTGTCCATATTTTTCTAATTGATAATGTTTTAACGACTGCAGAGCTGCATTGATTTTCGTCTTGTTTTATCTGCTTGGAGTTCAGTTTCAAGTGGATGTGCAGCGATTTAGAACTGCAGAAGGCTTTCTCTCTATTATAGAACTACAAGTTCCAGCATGGCCAGCAGATCCGGGTAAAAGGACCCATTGCCAGGGAAATAGGCTGCCTGTCCTGGGTATAGCTCAGGGTATAATTACAGGGCAGATGTTTTAGGACAGGCTTGTTCTGACAGCCGGCGCAGTGATGTAAGCCACAGCAATCCATCACAATGACCTTCTTAGTGAAGTGTGTTCAGTAAACCCCCATCAGACGGCTGGCTGCCATCACTGCACTCTGCACTGCCTATAGGATACACCCAGTAGAGCATGGCTAGGCTGAGGGGATGTGCGCAAAGTGGTGCGGGATCCTGCAACACACACAAATCACATCCCTTGTGCAGTTACATAGTGGGGCTGTTATTTCTTAATTGCACCCCAACACAGCTTGCTCACATGTGCGCTGAAATGCATGGTGATAAAGTGTTGTGCGTTCCGGTGTGGTGCTATTTAAAAAAAAAAAAAATAGGTGCTTGCGCTCCGTGTTGTGCGAGTTTTGCACCTAGGACCGCCCATTGAAATGAAATAAGAAGAATCAGGAATCAGCACAGGGATGGTGGGAACCCCTCATAATGAGCACAGCAGGTGTACAGACCTAGGAATCAGTACATGGATGGTGGGAACCCCTCATAATGAGCACAGCTGGTGTACAGACCTGGGAACTCAGCACAGGGATGGTGGGAACCTCTCATCATAAGCACAGCAGGTGTACAGACCTGGGAATCAGTACAGAGATGGTGGGAACCCCTCATAATGAGCACAGCAGGTGTACAGACCTAGGAATCAGTACATGGACGGTGGGAACCCCTCATAATGAGCACAGCAGGTATATAGACCTAGTGCAGGGATGGTGGGAACCTCTCATAATGGGCACATCAGGTGTACAGACCTGGGAATCAGTGCAGGGATGATGGAAACCCCTCATAATGGGCACAGCAGGTGTAGAGATCTGAGAACTCAGCACAGGGATGGTGGGAGCCCTTCATAATGGGCACAGCAGGTGTACAGACCTGGGAACTCAGCACAGGGATGGTGATAATCCCTCATAATGAGCACAGCAGGTGTACAGACCTGGGAACTCAGCACAGGGGTGGTGGGAGCCAGGGGCGGACTGAGCATTTGGAAACTCTGGCACTGCCCGAGGGCCCGGGGTTAGTAGGGGGCCCATGAGATGCCCCTGGTACCTTTTTCATAGGCTTTTTTGAGTTTGGGCAAGGACACAGGGGCCCCATGATCCCATATTGCCTGTCAGTCCGCCCTTGGTGGGAGCCCTTCATAATGGGCACAACAGATGTATAGACCCAGGAGCTCAGCACAGGGAAGGTGGGAACCCCTCGTAATGGGCACAACAGATGTATAGAGCTGGGAACTCAGCACAGGGATGGTGGAAACCCCTCATAATGGGCACAACAGATGTAGAGACCTGGGAATCAGCACAGGGATGGTGGGAACCCCTCATAATGGGCACAACAGATGTAGAGACCTGGGAATCAGCACAGGAATGGTGGGAACCCCTCATAATGGGCACAACAGATGTAGAGACCTGGGAATCAGCAGAGGATGGTGGGAACCCCTCATAATGGGCACAACATATGTAGAGACCCGGGAATCAGCACAGGGATGGTGGAAACCCCTCATAATGGGCACAACAGATGTATAGAGCTGGGAACTCAGCACAGGGATGGTGGAAACCCCTCATAATGGGCACAACAGATGTAGAGACCTGGGAATCAGCACAGGGATGGTGGGAACCCCTCATAATGGGCACAGTGGGTGTACAGACCTAGGAACTCAGCACAGGGATGGTGGGAACCCCTCATAATGGGCACAACAGATGTAGAGACCTGGGAATCAGCACAGGGATGGTGGGAGCCCTTCATAATGGGCACACAGCAGGTGTACAGACCTGGGAACTCAGCACAGGGATGGTGAGAACCTCTCATAATGGGCACAACAGATGTAGAGACCTGGGAATCAGCAGAGGGATGGTGGGAACCCCTCATAATGGACACAGCAGGTGTATAGACCTGGGAACTCAGTGCAGATCGGGTGAGTAGAAACCTGAAACATAGAAAATGAATGCATCCAGTCATCACTCCTAAGGATCAGTGAGCTGCAACTTCATACATTCTAGTTCTTGGGTAGAAATACACTTTCATGTTCCAATGACGTAACCTCACATTTCCTATAGTAATTCAAATCTTGTGTTCAGTCTTTTTAACCCTTTCTGTGCACATTATGGCTGTTTATTCCTGCGCCCCCCGCTGATCGCCCCCATCGCCATCCGCAGACTACAGCCTGTGATGTGACTGTTTCCCAATCCGAAGCGTCTGGGGTTCAGGCTCTCTCCTGTTATGAAACATGGTGTGTAAATAATGAAGGCTGCATTCACAGCGAGCGGCACTGGCGGAGTCTCTGATCCAGAAATACTAGCCGCGCTATATATAGCCCCATTTTCTGCCGCTTTTCAGCAAAGTGTAACAAATTAGAGGAAAGGGGGCTTTGGTGGAGGAACTCGATGGGTCGGGTGTGACAGAAAAAGGAGAAAAATAGATAACCTGTGACTGACAAACCCCCACGGGCCACCGTTACACATCATGTGTGAGAGCTATTTTCAGAAGATGCAAGATGTTCATGCAGAATTCACGGGCCGGGGATGCAGGCTGTTCCAGAGAAGAAAGACAGGAAGGTCCTCCGAGAGGGGATGGGGGGCTCCAAGGAGAAGACTCCCAGACAGAGGTGACCATCCAAGGACCAGGATTCATGGCAGAAGCTACTCTCCAAACATCGGATTGGAATATTGTTTTTTAACCAGTTCATGTCCGGATCAGGGGCGGACTGACAACTCGTGGGGCCCCCGGGCAATAGGGGATCATGGGGCCCCTGTGTCCTTGCCCAAACTCAAAAAAGCCTATGAAAATGGTACCAGGGGCATCTCATGGGGCCCCCTTCTGACCCCGGGCCCTCTGACAGTGCCCGAGTTTCCAAATGGTCAGTCCGCCCCTGGTCCAGACACTTAGGGCTCGTTCACACTAGGCTGTTTTGCCAACGCTTGCCAAACGCCCCTATAGCGTTTGGCAAGCGTTGGTCCGGCGTTTGCCGAGCGTTTTTTAACGCTCGGCAAACGCTCCGCAAACGCCACATGCGCGGTTTAGCGGCGGTTGCTAGGCGTTTGCCGAGCGTTAATAACGCCCCACAAACGCCTATAATGCAGTTTGAGTGGTGTTACCGCTCCGCAAACGCCCCGCAACCGCGTCGCAACCGCACCGCAAACGCCGGCCGGGCGTTTGCGGAGCGGCACCATAGACGAGAATAGGAGGCTTCAAAGCCTCCTGACTCGTCCAGAGGCGTCCGTTTTGCCGCGACGCAACGCGACGCGACGCAAACGCTCCCGTTAGAACAGCACCATGTGCTGTAATGTGCAAAATTGGCAGAGGCGTTTGGGAAGCGGTAAAAACGCTTCCCAACGCCTCTCTGCCGCCTGCACACAAGGCTAGTGTGAACGTAGCCTTATACCCCCTTCCTGACCAGGGCAATTTTCAGCTTTCAGTGCTATCACACTTTGAATGACAATTGCATGGTCATGCAACACTAACCATATTATTATTATACAGTATTTATGTAGCGCCAAAGGGTTTGCTCAGCGCTGTACAGTAGCAAGGGGGACAGAACATGAGACAAGACAGTACAATACAATACACGAGGGGTTCGAGGGCCCTGCTCTTTCCAGCTTACAATCTAGGAGATCCCATATGAATTTTTTACCATTTTTTTGAGACAGATAAAGCTTTATTTTGGTGGTATTTATTCACCGCTGGGATTTTTATTTTTTTTTGCTACGTAAATGAAAAAGTACAAAAATTTTGAAAAAAAGTTTTTCTTATAAATTTTACAAATAAACTAATATTTCATCATAAATCTTGGCCATAATTTATTCTGTTATCTTTTTAGCAAAAAAAAAAAATAAGCCAAATTAGTTTATAACCAAAAATTATAATTTTTAAACATTTTTTTTTTTACATTTTTATTTTATTTTTTTATATTATTTGTTTTTTTTTATTTTTTACATACTGTCACCCTAGCAGTACAGTGTCACTATGGTGACGCTGTACTACTTGTGGGGGTGATGAAGATTTTTTTTTTTTTACAGTGATTGCTTTTACACCCATATAGGATGTAAAAGCAATCATTTCTCTTTCTCTCTGTCTGCATTCTTGCAGCCATTGAGAACTACTGAGTGAGCTGTGATTGGTCAAAGCTTGTCACATGGTACAAGGCTGTTGTGAATAGCTTTGTACCATGTGACCTCTGTGATCATTCACAGATTTCACACGTAGTAAGCAATGATGTCACAAGTGACATCATTGCTTACTACTTTGCATGTGATCACTGATTGTCCAATCAGTGATCACATGATCGGGACCATCGTACAGAGGTCCCATCCGACGATCGGTGTTTCACTGTGTCCGGAGGACACAGCGGGCACCGGATCGCGGTGCTGCGCGCTCCCAGGGAGCGTGCACAACTGGAAATGGCGGGTGCCGTTTATGAACAGCAACCCGCCCCTGGAGTGCCACCGTCCTGCCGTTTATAAACAGACAGGGAACCGGAAGTGGTTAAATAAATGTATTTCTAAAAATAGATCAATACAATCTTATATAAGCTTTAATATGTTAATGTCATTTGAAAAGATGTCTTCAGTCTTTTTTAACCCTTTGATGCCACCGATGTATGGCATGCGGGGGTAAGGGCTCATGTACACTGCAGCTGATAAACTCACGTTTAGGAGCTTTTCTGCGTTTTTTTTCCAGCAGCCCCTGAACTCTCCCTAATGTTTCCTATGTGTCCATGTACACATCTTCGTTTACAGTCGTTTACAGGCAGTTGAGTTTACAGTCGTTTTTTAAAACGCAGAAAACTTGCGTTCAGGAGTAGATTTTATCAGTGTTTCAAACGCAAAACGCTTGTAAACGCGTCTAACCGCGTTTTAAATTTTTTTTTAACTCTTCCATTGCACACTAATGTGCTTTCAGCTCCTAGAAGGTGTTGTTAGCATTTTATTTCTGCTCTTTTGCAGGCCATACATGGTACATGGTTCTAATTACTAACGATTTTCCGTCCGATTTTTTGTTCTGTAATCTGATGGCGCCACAAATGAAAAATCGGTTGTTTTTCACACATTTTCCAGCATGCCCGATAAACAAAATGAGGAGGAACCACGAAAATCGACCGATGTCATTGCCCCACTAACAGAGCAAAAATCAGCCAATTATTCTTAAGTCCGATTTTCGTATGAAAATCGTTCGGAATTCGAACCATGTATGGCCTGCATTAGGTTCCATGTACACTGCAGCTGATAAACTCACGTTCAGGAACTTTTCTGCGTTTTTTTTCCAGCAGCCCCTGAACTCTCCCTAATGTTTTCCTATGTGTCCATGTCAGGGGCAGACTGACCATTCCAGCACTCGGGCACTGCCCGAGGGCCCGGGGTCAGTAGGGGGCCCCATGAAATGCCCCTGGTACCTTTTATAGGCTTCTTTTGGGTGTGCTTTGAGTGTGGGCAAGGACACAGGGGCCCCATGATCCCCTATTGCACTGGGGCCCCATGAATTGTCAGTCTGCCCCTGGTCCATGTACACATCGTCGTTTACAGGCAGTTGAGTTTACAGTCGTTTTTTTGAACGCAGAAAATTTGCGTTCAGAAGTAGATTTTATCAGTGTTTCAAACGCCAAAAATGTGTAAACCAGGGGCGGACTGACCATTCGAGCGCTCAGGCACTCAGGCACTGCCCAAGGGCCCGGGTCAGTAGGGGGCCCCATGAAATACCCCTGGTACCTTTTTCATAGGCTTTTTCGAGTTTGGGCAAGGACACAGGGGTGCCCGGGGGCCCCATGAGTTCTCAGTCCGCCCCTGGTGTAAACATGGCGAAATGCGGCTAACTGCTTTTCTAAACGTTTGCGTTTGGAATTTTTTTTTAACTCTCCCAT